AAAGTGTCTTCCTACAGTTTAATCTCTTTATTGATCCACAATTATGCGACTATAAATTCTAATGAACAAAATTAGCATAATGTGTAAAGTACTGCTAATTTTTTTTGTCATTATGATACATGTTTTTTTTTTTTCTTTTAAGATAATGACAAGAATATATTATCGCCACTGATTTTTTGCAATAGATAAAGTTCAAAACGACTTGCTATAATGTATCATCTACTTTTTCTTATCATATATCATAATTGTTAGAGTTATCAAAATAAATTGTACTCATTTATGATTTATATAATATAATTTAGATGTCATTTTCTTATTATTTTACGATATTATATTAACTTACATTCCGCATGAGTTAACGTGGAAAAAATAAGGAAATTGTTATTGAAATGAATATCAATGATCATTGTGCATATTTATAACTTTACATAAGGTGATTGATCTTGCACGTCATTCTGATCACCATTGGACTTATCTTGCAAATAAATGAAGTTAAAATTTATTTAGCAAATTAAAAAAAGTGAAAGATATATGGACATAATTTGAAGATAAACGCATGCGGTTCGAAATTGAGTCATTTTTTATTTTTTCTTAAGTATTTAGATTATTAATTTTAATTTTAATTGACTCATATTTTGTACATGTTTATTTCAATTATATATATAGTAGTAATAAATCTTTAGTTATTAATGAAGAAAATTATGTCAATATCAAAACATTTTAGACAAAAGTTTCAAGGAGTATTATCAATGTGACAAATACATTGAATATCACAAATGTTTTTTAAGTTGAATTTATTTAATTTGAAACTATTTATTACAAAACATATTGTATTTTATAATCATACCCAGTTATATGTTGTTGTTTCTATAGTCACGGATCTCTATTGTCTGATTATTATTATTTTATGATGATAATTATAATAATGAATACATTTCATCCACTAATAATGTTATATTTAGAAAACCATTTTAAAATATAATGAACAAAATTTTCATCCTACTTTTTATTATATCTCTACATATTTTCTGAATATACTTTATTTATTAAAATAATATATTTCACATTATGTTTTAACATCAAGCCGCGCAACGCGATGGTGTCGTACTAGTGTGTTTCCAAATTGTTGGTTTTTGTTGGAAAATTTCTCTTATTGTAAATTCATAAAATTAGCAAAAAGTACTATTCTGATGGGGTGATGTAGGATAATGCTCTCTTACCCACGGTGGACACATGTTAATATGTCAACTGATTATGTGGCATGCACCCATTGGTGATGTTAATATGTTCAAAAAAATACACCACCAATGTGTGCATGCCACATAAGCGGTGAGCATATTAACATGTGCCCACCGTGAATATGTGAGCATTACTGGGGTGATGTATACCCCTTTGTGTGTAGTTATCTTAAATTTCGTTGTTACCATGATTTCTACTAAGTAATCATTTGATTACTCACTGTATTGTACTATTTGGCCTCTTTTACTTCATGGGATGGGATTGGACGAGATTTATCCCACCCACTTTACACGTCAGTATTTATCCAATGTTTACAAAACATGATGCATTTTAAGGCAAAAACGATCAAGCATTTACTGACCTGGACAAAATGATATGAGAAATAACACAAGACAAAAAATAAATTATAAAGATATTTTAATGATTAATAATTTTTAAATTTGTTATAAATTTTTTATATAATATTTATCAAATTAATAATCTCATGATGAGCTTCAATTTGACATCTATATTGTACATACAAAATAAATAAATATTTACATTTTATATATTGAAAATTAAATAATCTATTAATACTATTTCAAAAAATAAAATTATTTAAATTAATATTTTTATAAGATAATTATTTAATTAAATAATATTATTTTATTTTAAATTATTATTTTAAATTAAATAAAATTGTTTAAATTAATATTTTTGAATTAAATAAAATTATTTGAAATTAAGTAAAATTATTTAAATAAAATAAATAATATTTAAAATTATTTAAATAAAATTATTTGAAATTAAGTAAAATAAATAAAATTATTTAAATAATTTTAAATTAATTTAATTATTTAATAATATGTTTTAAAATTAAATAATATTATTTTATTTAAATATAATTATTTAGATTAAATTTCATATTTAGATAAATATTTTTTAAATTAAACAACATTATTTTAAATAAAATAAAATTAGTTAGATTAAATAATTTTTTAAATTAATAAAAATTAATTAAATTAGAATTTTTTAAATTATATAATATTATTTTAAATCAAATAGAATTATTTAGATTAAATAATATTTTAAATAAATATATTATTTAAATTTATATTTATTAAATTAAATAAAATTATTGAAATGCAATAATATTATTATTTTTTTTTTACAGTCATTTCATTAGAACAATAAAAATGTCCCACATATTTAGTAGGATTGAATTATCTAGCCACATATGTATCTCCGCGTGGGACCCACCTACTACATGGGCTAAATCAAAGTCTCAATCATGTAATGTAAACGCAGGATAAGGTTTGTTAAAGCCGCTATCCCATCTCATCATGTTAAGTAAACGAGGTCTTTTAGTTTTAATGTTATCAGTTCAATGGCAATTGGAAACAATAAAATAAAAAATATAAAAAAACCTAATAAATACATCTATATCTATATCTATATATATATAAAGAGGGAGTTGATGGAATTGAGGTTACTAATAATAAATGTAAATGCTTCTTTTGAAAATGGTATCAACAATATTTTTGGAAACAAATATATAATTAGTATGTTTGTCTTTTAGTTTATTAAATCATTCATGATAATTAATTATCAATTTAATATAGAATGAGTATCTTATATGACTTGATAATCAAAGTACGTGCATTATTCAACAATAATTTATGGTATTGAATCATTTTTTTATATCAAATGATTTGGGATGATGATATATAACCTTTTTATAATTTTTTATATATGGTAAGAAAAACACATATTAAATATTATTTTTTACGTTTCCATATGGAAAGAATCTTATACAAATAAAATTAGATTAGTTTAATTATAGAAAAACTGAAATAAAATGATTCAGTTTCCATATGGAAAGAATCTTATACAAATAAAATTGGATTAGTTTATTTGTAGAAAAACTGAAATAAAATGATTCATAAATTT